TCCCACACGTACCCCCTTACTCTCTCCCTCCCATTACTCAGTCTGACGCTCCCACACGTACCCCCTTACTCTCTCCCTCCCATTACTCAGTCTGACGCTCCCACACGTACCCCCTTACTCTGTCACTCCCATTACTAGGTGCACCATCAGCATACAAAGAGTCAGACGAAATCAAAAACAGCACAATGGTCATTTACTGGCTCCGCTTTCTTGGCCCATAGATCTGCCCAATTAAAATACCTCCCCAGAAATGTTCTATAACCCGCCTTCTCAGGGCAGGAAATTCCTGCGGTTAAACTACAGAGTGGGACGGAAGGCAAACGGCCCTCGTGTCCCACAGCCTCCCGTGTCTCACACAACAAGCAGCCCCCAGCGCTCACGGCCATGTCTTACCGCGGGGCGCAGAGATAACAGGAAGGCTATGGTCACATTGCCAGGCTGAAGTGACTCAAAGCTGTTTTTTTGCTTTAGGGTCTTATGTTTTCAGGGCTATGTGGACACAGAAATCCTTTTAAAATCTTTTCAAATGAGATCCGAGTCACTTACATATGTCATCCGAGACCTTGTTTTCCTGGCCATACGACATGAATGAGATCAGAATTTATGTGGTGTTTTGCCTGCACTGAACGCTGTCGTCATCAGCCAGCACCAGAGAAGAGCGACAGATGCGACAAAACGTATCGATGCGGAAATGCGCGCTGTTTCGGAGGACACAGGTGATCACATTACAGTTAGACACAGGTCACTGTTAATTATGAATGTGAACCGTCAAGTTAGGCAAATCCGATCTGAGCAAAAAATTGTAATTGAACATTGAGGCTTGCAATGTGAACATAGCCAAGGAGGTGTGTTTCAAACTGGACACTATGACCTTTTTGCTTTCAGTACATACTGTTATACTGTATATGTCTGTAGTATAAGTCAAGCAGCTGGTCTATGGTATACTGCCCACTAATGTGTTGGCTAGGGAACAAACCAACAGTCCAGCCTCCCACCCATCTCTCAACCACTTATCCTGGTCAGGGTCATGAGTTTGTGTCTAGCTAGCACAGGACACAAGGCAGCCCATCACAGGGCACATACATACTCACAAACACTCTGGGCTATTTAGAGATGCCAGCTAGTCTAAATGTGTCCGTGGATTGCAGGAGAAACCCCACAGGACATGCCGGAAGCATCAGGAGAAACCCCACAAGATGTGGTGGAAACATCCGTAGAAACCCCACGGGACATGAAAGCATCACGAGAAACACTAGGAGAGGGTTCCTCAGTTGTAGTTCTGGAGGGCCAGTCTGCAACACACTTTATTGATTTCCACCTTATTCGGCTCACAAGCTACAGTAGTTACCAGGTTTTATAGGTGTGTTTCAGCATGGAAATCTGAAAACTGCAGACTGGCCCTCCATGACTGAAATTGAGGAGCCCTGTCTTAGCATTCCCTGGTTGGATACTGCCCATGTCTGTCAAACAAAAAATTAATGTATGAACTAATGACAGAAACCAGTTGGCAGGATATCAGGCTTTTGACATATAGTAGCACAGAAACAGATATATACCAACATGGAAACAGACATGGCTTCCAGCTGCAGTGGAGCTGAGAGAAGTCACCTGGTCTGTTTGGCCATTTGGAGGTGAGGTGGTTTGTGGCGCCCCCTGTTGTGTAGGAGGCAGACATGTTCCTGCCCTTGGTCATGGTCAGCACGGCTGAGCTGTTCCACAGGTCACTGACCTGACTGGAAGAGACAGACACATAGTCAGTGGACAGGCAGGTAATAAGCCACACATGGACCTGTATCAGTGTATCAGTCCCCCTGTATCAGTGGTTTCAATAACCACAATTCCATTTATCCACTGCAATCCAACAAAGTAAAATGTGTAACAATATGTTTTCATTGTTCTTTAGCCTTTGAGGGGTATAAAAAGCGTGATTTTCATTGCTCTGTGTCCCTTGATACATATTTCTAATTGATTTATCATCTCTTGAGAACTAGGCTGAAGTGTCAGAATCTCTTTAATTTGAGAGTATAGTACTCTATAATAATGTTCAATGTACTTCATTATTACTGTCTTTCTATGTTAGTAATGCCTCACTGTGTGTAGTTTATCAGTTACCATAGGTAAATAAAATGACGTCATATATATGGGCGCTTCACTGTTATGGACCTGGTAGGTCTTGTAACGCATCAGCTGTGGACACGAGAGTACTACTGTACTGTTGTGCTGGCAGTAAAATCATAATTACTGAACAGCTTTCGAGGAGCATAAACTAAAGAGGCTTTCCAATAGGACAGTGGTTCCCAACCTTTTTTAACTCACGGCCCACACAGCCAAACACATACGTTTCCGCGGCCCACTGCAAA